CCCTTCTGCTCTCTCCCGACCAGGACAACTGGGACGACGAGGAGGAGGAGGTGGAGGAGGAGGAGGACAAGGAGAAGGAGAAGGAGGCCGAGCCCGAGGCCAAGCCAGGTGAGGGATCCGGGCGGCGGCGCTCGGGAGCCCCGGCGCCGCGAGCGAAAAGCCAATAACCTGTGCCTGTCCGCAGAACCCAAAGTTTCAGAGAAGAAGAAAGCGGCAGAGAAGATGCGGGAGAGGGAAAAGCTGCAGAAGAAGAAGCAGGAGGAGGTTAAGAAAAGGGTAAGGCTTTCCCAGCGCCTCGCCCTGCAGGAAACCAGGATTCGCGTCTCGAGCGCGGATGGATGGGCTCGGGGCGCCTCTCTGGCGCGTAGGTGGCGGCTGGCGTGCGGCTGCCCTTCGGGGAAACGTCGCTGCTCTAGAAACAGTTGTGAAATGTTGTTAGGTAAGCAGTGTTTGGTCTGCACGGTAGATCATTTTTCACCCTCTCTGTGTTTTGGTCGCCGCCGCCGCGATGGCTTTCTTCTGAGGCTAGCGCCGTATGCCGACGGAGAGCTGATCGGGCATACGTCGCTATTCTGTTTCGTATCCCCTTTTAAGTTAGAGGCATCCGAAGAATCTAAAGAACTTACGCCGGAAGAGCAGTTAGCAGACAAACTCCGATTGCAGAAATTGCAAGAAGAGGCAGACCTTGAGTTAGCAAAAGAAACCTTTGGTAAGTTTGAAGGCTGTGCCAACAAGTCACACCGCTCAGTTGATTCAGGGCACGTATTATTTCCTATTAGAAGCACAAAAGATTGTTGTCTGCATCTCTCTAAACCAGCGGTTCTCGTAAACCGCAGCTCTTTAGGGTCCTCAGTCATTTTTAAGACGTCAAGGGTTCCTGAGACCAAAATATTTGAGAAGCGCTGCAACATTTCTTTCCTTTCAGAGGAGCTGTCATTGTGAGCTGATTATTTTACATACTTAAGCTATTTTTATGCTTTGCTCATCTTCCTACAGGTGTAAATAACATATGTGGAATAGATACTATGAATCCATCGTCAAAAGATGATTTTACGGAATTTGGGAAATTGTTAAAAGAAAAAATAACACAATATGAGAAATCTCTATATTATGCTGGATTTTTGGAAACATTAGTTCGAGATATATGTATTTCATGTAAGTACATCAACGAAATACCATTGTTTGCGCTCTGCTTAGCTTGGAAATAAAGGACAGGTTAGAACAATAGCCCAGTGAGAAAAGCTAGGCTAATGGGGTTGAATTAGCTACTTAATTATTAACTCTTAATCTAAGTTTTTATAATGTCTTCTATGTTCTATTTTAAGGCTACTGCTAAGATAGTTGGGCATTCCTACCATAGCCAGCTTTTTTTCTCTTCTGCCTATCTGGTTACCTGTTTATTTTAGAAGAAGGACATCTGGGTGATTCCCAACATGTTCTGCAGTTTTCAGAAACATCTAAATATACATTACCTCCTTAATTCAGGATCATTTGAAGAAAAAACCAGATCTTTTGCATAAATAGTTAACCAGATTTATTATTTCTGGCCATTTGACTTGCATGCAGTTTTAAAAGTTATAAGCAGCTACTATATTCTTCTACAAAGATGGAGCCAGACCACTTCCTAAAGTTAAAATCAGTTTCTAATAACTGTGTTAGAAATTTCTGTAATATAATTCACTGAAGAGAACGAAACCATACCCATTTTAATGCACGCTTTTCAGGAACTTTTCTTAAAAAACATATAAAGCTATCTTATTCAACCTATATCTGATGAGCCACAGCCTCATTTATCAGAATGGTCATATTAAATATGTATCTTTGTTTTTCTTTAAGAAGCAGTAAGTATAGATAGTGTGCCTTTCTTTAGATTTTTCCTTGCCACAACCCCCTCCCCCCTCCTTTGAAGGACCTTAGGCTGAAAGAGTCAGCCCTGGGGAGCTTCCACAGCTAAGTGGGAGTTGAACGTGTGGAGACCTGGCACCCTTCCTGTTGTTCTGGATGAGAATCCTTTCTGGTCTCAGTGCTGTAATCTGTCATAAATTATGGTAAAGCAATAAATGATGTGTTTGGCAATCTTTCATATACTTAAATTTTATTCTGGCAAGATTGCTATAGACAGTTTTCATGCTTTTTATTTTATTCAATAAATTGTAATAATTTAATATCCGTAAATGATTAAAAGGAACCAGAAGAGAATTTAACATCTTAGCCAATGTAGAGTTTATTACAGCAGAACTGAGCCAGTTATCTGTTGGCGCCATATATGGATGTTCACACAACCATTCCTCGTTTTCCCTTGATGATCAGGTTGATAACAGGAGATGTTAAATGTATCGTGGACAGCTTTACCCCTCAAACCTTGCCATCAAGTATTCTGGGTATTTTTTAAAAAGTACATTAGCAAAAAGCAGTGGAGAAAGGGGGCGTGCTGGTCTTCTCGCTGCTCAGTTAAATGAATATTCATTTCAGCACTTAACATTTTTGCCAGCTGTGCAAGGTTAGTAGATAGCTTGAGAAGAACAGTCATGTTCAGCCCCTCTGATAAATCAGGCAGGGAGTGTGTTTTGTTCCTCTGCTCCAACTGTTTTTGGAAAGGAATTCCCTGGGAAAGGGGCAAATCAGAGAAGTGAGAGGCAGCTCCATCCTGAGGCTTGAAGGAGTCAGGCCAGGAAGCAGGGAAGAGCTGGATACCAAAGCAGTTGGCATCATCAGAGATTTCAGGCTAGCCCTCTTGCCTCAGTTTCAGATGCTGCTTCACTCACAGAGGCAGAGACTGGGGGCCTGACAGCCCGGGGCCTCTGCCCTCAGCAGCTGAGGAAGCCTGCCTGAAGGCAGCCTGGGGGCCTTGAGGGAGAGGAAGGAGCTCATGAGTAAAGGCTCCTTTCAGGTGTCTTGGTTAGCTAGGGAATTTCAAACAAGTCAGCAGACAGTACAAAGCCCATCTTTTGGCAGTGCAATTAACCAAATGGTTCTGAAAAACCTAAGTTTTTAAATTATTGCCCAATGGTGGATTTTAAATGTTTCCTATGAGCAGCATGGCTAGCCTTGCACTCAGAGGAGTGTGTGGAAAAGGAAGAGCTACTGTTAGGGCCGGGTACTAGCTGGACTACCTCAGTTCTCTAACAGAGGTCCTTCTAACCTGAAGGTGACCTTCCCCACAACTGTGTGGTGTCTTTTGCCTACCCATAAGCTACCAGCTTACATACATTTTTCCTAAAAATACTTTTCCAGGTATCCCAGATGTTTTTGTGATGTAAGATTCCACTGCCACCCTTCTTTTTTTGGGCAGAAAAAGCTGTTTCTGGAAAGCCTGTAAATAATTCCCCCCCCCCCCCCCCTTGTTTTTTCTTTAGTGGAAGTCGATGACTTGAAAAAGATTACCAATTCGTTGACGGTGCTATGCAGTGAGAAGCAGAAGCAGGAGAAGGTGGGTCTTAGGGCCTCTTGCAGGCTTTGGCAGCTACTGTGATATTCCAGTGGCCTTCTGTCATGGATCCTGGGGAGGAGGGGATGAGTGGCTTGCACAGGGGTCTGTGTATCTGGCAGCTGATTTAGCTTAAGCTCTGTGAAAATAAATCCTGGTCTTAGACTTTCTGCACCTAAAGATGTGGTTTTATTCTGGCAAGCTGGTTAATGACTCTATAGGGCAGTCTGTAAACTTTGATCACAGCCCTGATCAAGATGACTTCTCAGTTGCATACAGAATGCTGCACATCAGAATACACGCGAAGGGTACTTTGTTGGGCAGGGTTAGGAAGTTGGTACCTTCCACGTTTTGGATTTCAGCTTCAATCAACCCTGAGTTTCTTGGAAAAAAACTTAGCAAGGTAGTCATTTCATGTGGTTTGCAAGGGAGCCGATGCTTGCTTTCCCTTTTTCTAGCCCAGGATTGGAGAGGTCCGATTGTATTCTTAAATCTGAGCTGTTCCTTTTTCCTTCCAGCAAAATAAAGCCAAAAAGAAGAAAAAAGGTGTGGTGCCTGGCGGAGGTCTAAAAGCAACTATGAAAGATGACCTGGCAGATTACGGTGGTTACGACGGTGGCTATGTGCAAGACTACGAAGACTTCATGTGACCCGTTCTTTCTGTCTTTTGGTTTGCCCACGCTCCCCTAACTGTAGCACAACTTCCTTCCTTTCAATTCTGCCAAATGCCACAACCAGAAAGTGCAGTGTCTTTGTGCTGTTGGTTATCCGGTCACGACTTGACACATTGGAATACCTGCCTTGATGCCGAGGGAATAAAATTATGAAGCCCAATTTTTTATTCAATGATAGGAAATAATGGAATATCGATAATGTGTGTCTTCATAGCAGCGAAGCAGCACTAAATTGGACATTAATTTTGACATGGCCGAAGTTGTATTATTACCAGCAGAGTTAGTAATAACAATCTTAACTGTACCTTTTTTACAAGACTCTACCCAGAAAACAAAAGCAGTTTGCAGCAAATGCATGGGTTTGCAGTAGTATTAAAAATGGCTTTTCTCTCTATTAGAACTTGGTTTTTCAGCGGCTTGAGGGACTTGTGACGTAGCTATAACTTTCCCTGACTTCCAAGTGTGAAAGGGGCAAATGGGCTGTTTCTCTTGCAGTGGGAGGGGGAGGAGCCTTGTCTGAGCAGTTCAGTTTACACTCTGCTGATTCTTTGGAACAATTCTTTGTCACCAGATTTTGGTGGCTCTCACAAGACGGCTGTTTTTTCATGCATAGGAATCCTGCTTAGCAAACTGCAACAGTTATAATAGTTGGGCAAATTGTTATGTTCAGAATTATGACATCTGCAAATGTTTTATAAAAGCAACTAATTTAATAAAATCACTATTGTGAGGACTGAGATCTTTGGTCAGCTTGTGCTTCTCCCACAGGCAGTAACAATTGCTGACAAGGGACCAAATTGCCAGCGAAGGCTGCTCTTCTCTCATCCCACTTAAGTGATCGTGTAGCTCATCCCCTTCTAGCCACGCCTTCCCCCCTTGCACACACACCTCCCGTCTGATGTTGCCCTCCGTTAACAGCCAGTGACTGGAAATATTCTTCAAAGAAGAGATAATCCAACATGGTCATCTTTCTTAACATGCAAGTGGCCAATGTGTACGATTTTTAAGGGTAGTGTGGGTCAATAATCAATAGATCAGTAATCAATAGGTAGCCAGAACCTTGGTATAGCTTCCAGAATCAATCCTGGTGGTTCTGGAGGAAAGGGAGAAAGCAACAGGCCACCTTTCATTGCCTTGGCCTCCTAGGGCAAGAGGATGGGATGTCCAGCCTGACTGCTAGCCTTCAGCCGTGCCTGCAGTTCTGCCTGGGCTACTAGCCCTGTGCTTAGCCTCCTCTTGGCAGTTTCTGAAGCCTCCAGCTTTCCCACACTCCAAATTAACAGAACACCAACATTTTCTGATTCTGTGAGCTGATACATCAATGTGCAAAGCCACCAGCACAAGGTGGAGTTGCCCACCTTTGCAAGTTCCTGGAAAGTGATGTACACAACACCATCCTCCCTGGCTGGACTTCAACTCCCAGATTCAGCAGTCACTGAAATCCAAAAAGCACCACATTTGCAAGGCTGCTTTAATAGGTCCAAAGTTAGATCTGAAACAAAAGCTATTTGTCTTCTGGTATTCAAGGAAAAACAGTTCTGAAATACTCCAAGATCAAATTCAGGTATGGTTTTCTCTTTTTTTGTTTGGCCACAAGTTAATTCAAAACTCTCTGGCTTCAGCCAAGGAAGTTGGTCTTCAATATGAGGTTCTTATAATCCAATGGTGGTTGCGTTCCATTCTGACTTCAGAAGTCAATATATTTGATACCAACCCCAAGATTAATAATCCTCAATATTTTGTGCAGCTGATGTCATCTAAAAATATATATCTTGGGCACTTTTTTTTTTCTGGCTTGACTGAAGTTTGTGAGGGCACGGGTTGCCATTCTGCTTCGTCCAGCCAGTGTGAGCTTAATTGGCCAGCAGATCATTCAGACAGCAGCCTGTCTGGGCATCATTTAAAAGCATGTTCACAACATCGTAGAACTGGTTGTCGTAGGCAAGCTTGTAATACACATAAATGTCATCACAGTAGGTCAGCAGCTTCTTCAGGTTTCTCAGGGCAGACTCGTTGGCTGCGTGCTGCTTGAACCTGAAAGAGGAGGTCCCTCGGTTAACAGAGGCCTCCCTCCCAGCTTGAAAAGCTTCTACCCCTTCGCCTTCCCGTTAGTTCTTGAAGAGGGAAAAAGCGAAGGCAGAAAGCCAGCACCCCCGCTGCAAAGAATATGAAGAAGCAGGTGGCAACCACAACTCACTTCTGGGCAATATCCTCAAAGGTGCTCGCCTTGAGCAAGCCATGCTGCTTGTACTCCTCCAGGTAGTTGAAGTCGCCCTTCAGGATCACTTGCTGATAGAGAACCTCCGACCAGTCTGGAACAAAGTCATAGGCCTCTGCCACCACTGCTGCCTGGAGAAAGAGAAAGGGGAAGGGAGAGGAAGGCGGATGGCCCCCTTGGAGCCGTGGTACTGCAGCCTCTGAGCCACGTTACAACTGCCACGTAAGAACAGTTAGTGACGGTACCCGATGTCCACTGAGGCTCAAGGGAAGCATCAGACCTTATCCGAGCAACTGAAAACTGAGGCAACGGAAGGAGCAAACCCCCGGAGCACACTGTACAGCGGTACTTCTAGCGCTTCGCAGACTAACAGCAGCAGCAGAGGGAGTCTAAGGGGGCAGTGAATTCTGCCTTCAGAGACTTTGGACCATCTGCCTATTTTGAAGGGTCTACTCTTCCAAAATGCGAGGTGAGATTAAAAACTGTGGCTTGACTTTTCCCCAAAATATCACCCCAAAGTGTCAGGTTCGGTCAGCACGGGGCTTCAGGGAAGCTCGCAGCCAGACCACGCGGAATC